AGAGTGTGTTTACTGAACCCGTGTTTATTCCGAGACAGATGCTCACGGTGCGTGTCTTGTGCACGCGTTGAATCCGCGGCCTTCTTCTAAACGGTACGACAATCGCCACAGCACTGATTCCCCGGGCGCCTTGCCACACAGACACAGTGTGCTTAAGCACGGGTCTTTGTCTGTTGGCTGGTGGTCAAATTAAAAGACGGAAGTAAATTAACAACAAACACAAACTATGCCACCAAGATCTGGGTCTCGTTTTTGCTCCCCCTTCTGTGGTTTAATTAGGGCGTATGTTATTCTTCTGTCGATGGGTTAACAACCTGTTGGTTGTCTCACTACACATGTTAATTAAAAGCAAAAAAAGATCGTGTCAATAACACAAAACGCAAATAGCTGAATTGTCGATATGATTCAATAAGAAGATCGCGAGAGCTGCTAACGCCAGTCGGCACTTAAAAAAAATATCAAACAAATAGTGCTCTCTATTTAAGTTTGTTTTGATATCAGAATAGTGATTTAATTTAATGGACAAAGGTAGAGAAAATGACCATTTTTGGAACAACATGTCTTTTAAAGTCTGTGGGAAGTCAATAAATGGCTCTGGCATATCTGCATTTTGTTCAGTCCCAGTTAAATTAATAAACCTTTTGACATACGATGACCAGTTTGGTTTACCCTGACGATCGTAAAGTCACATGGTATTGTATCATTTCTTTTGAAATCGTGAATTTGGCATCTGTAGCAATTTTGACCAGTATTTAATAACCTTTATATGAGCGTCTATGTACAATGGGCATCTTCCACATTCACCATAAACCATAACATTTGGAGAGCTAGGTTTAACACTGGGAGAAAGTTCTGTACTATACCATCTATATTTCTGAATCCTCACATTTCGGCTTCATCAGAACCGTACACTACATCTGGTTTGATCTGTTTTTAAGAAAGGTTCTATCTACATTTCTGTGTTTTGAAATTTGAGGTTGTGTAAAGATTAGACACCTCATACATTAAGTTAGAAGCGAGCGTTGTAATCATGTTCACAATTACAGCGATGATGTGCTGGTATCACAACTGACACAACCTCACTGCCAACGGAACACTCTTGAAGTATGACTGAATACCGCAGTGTTTAGCTGAAGACGAGTCGGCATTGCTGGATCGATGCGTAGTCTATCGAAACTTTTCATACGCGAGTTCTTTGTTTGAAAAGGTATCATGGTAATTTCGAGGTATCAGATGGAATTAGATACCTAATCATATTTTGACAGATCAGAATCAAGCACTGTTCAGTGTCTTGGTGGAATACAGAATCACAGCGTTTGCAGTTCTGGTGAGAGTTTAGAAACACTGTGGCTCTATGGGTCTGGTGAATGGAGGACAATTGGTGTTGTGTGTGTTTGTAGTGTGTAGAAAGTGTGTAAGTTTCTGTATTTCTTTGAAGACATATGACAATAGGAATACATGAATATAAAATATATGAACATATATTTAAAATGGCATTAATTATTATAATATTTATGATAATTTTGAAATACTGAAAGGAAATTACATATCGGTGTATTCTGTATGTATAAGAACACTTCAATAGTTGATGAAAATATTAGGGATATGAGTAGTTCATATTAAGAAAATAACAATGTTTCGATGTTAACAAATGATCAATGCTTCCTTTTTTCGTAAATTATACTAAAATGCCATAAGAATGCTGGCTCAAGATGTTACATAAGGGACATTCAAGCAGGACAACTTCCCTTTTTCTATAAACTAAGGAAATCAAACTCAGTAACATATATGTGTTATATATGTTTCATACCAATGAAGTAAAGATAACAGTAACAATATTTACCGTGTGCAGAAATGATGTGTCTGGGAAGGCAAGTAGAATGGGATGTGAAATTACACGCAAATAGCTGAATTGTCGATATGATTCAATAAGGAGATCGCGAGAGCTGCAAACGCCACTCGGCATTTAAAAAAAAATCAAACAAATAGTGCTCTCTATTTAAGTTTGTTTTGATATCAGAATAGTGATCTAATTTAATGGACAAAGGTAGAGAAAATGACCATTTTTGGAACAACATGTCTTTTAAAGTCTGTGTGAAGTCAATAAATGGCTCTGGCATATCTTCATTTTGTTCAGTCCCAGATAAATTAATTAACTGTTTGACATACGATGACCAATGTGCAGAAATGATGTGTCTGAGAAGGCAAGTAGAATGGGATGTGAAATTACATGGACGGAAACCGAAAACGAAAGATTTCATTAAGCAAATATATTTGTAAAAACTAGGCACTAATTGCTGCATTATCCATGTGTCCTCCTCCCTTGCCGCGGACTCGCGGCGTACAATGATGTACTAATCAGTATGACAGTTATAAACACCACTCAGCATCCCCAAATGAGGAGGTTTAATTTCAGCGGACACGTCTCCGTCGTCAAATCCTACATGTTGAACGTTCACCGTCAAGGTCCTGCCTCAGTGTAGTTTTTCCCGCGAATCTGTAGGTGAGGCTGTAAACAGACCTGTCAGGCATTACGTGAATACCAAACAGAGGCAAGTTCCTACTGGACAAAAATACATCGCTAAGTATGTCTGCAATACCGTTGCGTGAAATGTTTTACTTGTGTAATCCGTGTTGGAATCAAATCACAATGTCTGTTCACGTGTTCCCCCATGAGCCAACATTGCCTTCATTACCGACCTGCGGTGCACATAATTGAGCGACTGGGATGAATGACAGCTGCAGGTTAAAGCGACCTCAAGCACTATGTCATTAGGCTTGCATTAATTTAAAGAAAACAGAAAAGTTCTACTTTGGGTCTGTCGTTTCAACTACATCGCACCCTTTGGAAAGATGAACAGTTGTTTCTGAAAAAGAATACATAAAAATGTAACCGCAGCTATAACTTTTATATTTGTATTCATAGTTCGAGAGTGTTTGCGCATAATTGTCATATAGTGTTTGAGCATTTTTATCATATCGTGTTTAAGCATCATTGTCAGATAGTGAGTGAGTATGGTTTTACGCCGCTTTTAGCAATATTCCAGCAATATCACGGCGGGGGACACCAGAAATGGGCTTCACAGAATTGTACCCATGTCGGGAATCGAACCCGGGTCTTCTGAGTGACGAGCGAGTGACTAGGCTTGTCAGAGAGTGTTTGAGAATCATTGTCAGATAGTGTTTGAGAATCAGTGTCATATAGTGTTTGAGAATCAGTGTCATATAGCGTTTGAGTATCAGTGTCAGTGTTAGAGTATTATTGTCAGGTAGTGTTTGGGAATCATTGTCAGAAAATATTTGAGTATCATTGTTAGATAGCGTTTGGAATCATTGTCAGATAGTACTAGAATCTCCTATTTTGATATCACAACAATGTTTTTAATCATACTTGGAAAACTTCGGATACTGTAGATACACAATCATACAAAAGTGTGCATGACATGCAGGTACACCAGGGTGAGGAATATGTTGTTCATACAAAATATGAGGTTATACTGCCCATGGTTGATTGACATTTTTGAGCGATGCAATTTGATATTCAACTGAATGAGCATTCAAGTCTTTTAAGTTTCCAAAAGATTATGTTCCTTTGTGTGACACAGGTTGGTATTATATAAGGTAGCCATGTTTTAATTTCGGTCTTGAAGGCACAGATAGGCATTAAAGCCAGTTATTCCATATTGCATTGTGAGAACTAAGAACTAAAGAACTTTGCAACATTATATGAACATAGCATGTCCGTTCAGAGTTATTCATTGTGTTCAGGCGTTCCTATAGTGAAGGGTGACATCTGAAATATCAGATGATGTCATTCCAGGAATGGAAGTGGTGACTCTCTCAACTAAGTCTCTTTGTAATATGACAACATGAGTAGGATACCCACAGTCAACACAGACCTCAGCGTTGTTCGGTGCCGCGGGCTCCACACAATGGAAGGTGTTAAGACCAAACGTAAATGATGACAGCAGAACTCCACTCCTTTCGCCTGCTCCCCTTTGCTCCACATGCGGGGTCAACTGAGGTTAACAAATCGAAACCTGTCTATGTGAAATTTCAGCAAGTTCAGCTCTGTGTAACCTCTACGTGAACGTGACACTGCCACCATAACCCGCTAACCATTCCTGTGTCAGAGGCAGGTCCATGTGACAACCAATCACATTTCTCCAACACGTGTTACATCCCAGTTATGCCAAGATTCAATAAATGGGTGGCTACACCGACGAATGTGGCTACCATCTTCCACTGACCTAACATTAGCAGAATGTTACGGAATTAAAGAAGAGGTCAAACTTCTAACTCCGATTTCCCTTGAACTTGACATACCCTCATCATTGGGCCACACGTGTACTTGTTAAACCCCAACTGACCCTCACGCCATAAATGATATGTCTGTTCCATTTAACTATCTGGAAGAATATCGTTGTATTGTAAATTGACATTACGAACACAGGTAGTTGTCTGACTTGATGATATAATTTATATCATAATGAAATCAGTTGTTCTTCCTAAGTAACCTGGGTTCAATATGTGAAGCCCATTTCTGATGTCAACTGCCATGATATTGCTGGAATATTGCTAATATACTCATTCACTCCTAAGTAACCTTATTTTTTATAGTGATACTGTGATCATTATCAAATTACTATGTATAAAACTACCTTGTAATACATACTCAGCAGCCACGAATACAGGGCTGTTTTGACTTAAAGCTTTGACTTGGAGCTTAAAGCAAATGCCTAAAATATGAAATCTTAAATATATAACCAGCTGTATTCCATTATTTTATGCAACCAGACTTTAAGATTATTCCAAGAACAAAGAATATTTTTGTGGTCTTGTGACAGATATATTGTATGAACTGACGTTTTAACACTGATGGTGACCTTACTTGCATAGATGAAGTAAATACACACAAGCGCTCGCTGTTTGCACCACAAATCTAGATTATGTAAATATATGTGTGCTTGACACTAATCAAATGTCACTATTATTTTCAGGGTGCAGGTGTATGTAAGACCGAGCTCTCAGTTGACGGAATACAAGGGGATGTCCTCCATGACCTCTGTTCTCTGACCTCGACCCCCGGGGTCAGCCTCGTTCTCACGTGCAAAGATCAAGAGAGGTGAGCGTTTGGGCATAACCACCATAGTTGAGAGAACAGAGATTTCACAGCTGATATCACACATTCACTAACAATTTGTGAAGAAACTGAAACGTAATTCTTGTACACAACCAAAGGATACTTCAGGTTCAGGGTGACATTAAGCTTGTTTCGCGTTTCGGACAAAGACTGGTTGGAGTATTAAGACCTTGGCTGTCCAAAAAGTATAACTCTCCGTGTGTATATGTACAGTCGTTTTCAGAGGTCGATGTTATGCATTTAACGTCGCATTCAAGATTGGTTCATGTTTATAGCGACATGCGTGCAAGTGTGTGTGGCTGATTGTGCTAGTGAGGAATGAAGTCGGTTTTTTAATGCTGGCCCACTGATATACCATGCCTCCATTAGACACAGTATACTAACTCCGAGCCAACCGCTGATTGTTAATCGTTGTATCCCATTAACGCAGAGGGCCATAAACGTCTATTAACGTCTTTTGGTGTGACGCGATCAAGGGGTGGAGTGCTGGCCCACTGATATACTATGCCTCCATTAGACACAGTATACTAACTCCGAACCAACCGCTGATTGTTAAACGTTGTATCCCATTAACGCAGAGGGCCATTGACGTCTATTTACGTCTTTTCGTGTGACGCGATCAAGGGATGGAACCATTGACTTCAAGGTACTCATAGTCCTGAAGAAGTGTGTCAATTAGATATTAGCAATATCGTATGAACTGGAAAGACATATGTTTTTAATATTGCTGACACGCAGAAGGAAATAAAAAAGGGAAATTCTTGAAAGTTCGATAACAGTTAGTCTTTGTAAGTGGAAATGAATATGAAAAACTCTCGTACACCTTGATAGAAGGTGACGCAGTGTCATGGAAGGTCAAAGATCAGTCAAAGATTCCCTGGGTATGCCGCTGCAGCAAATGGCCAATTACGGGGTTTTCATTCACACCACATTTCAACTTCTGTTCCCGATTTTTTTCTCCGAATGCGCTGAGAAAATGTTACGTTTCTTTATGTTTCAGCTATTGTGACCAAGGGTTTAGAAAAAACCCATCTTGGCAAATAGTCCATGTATCTCATACTGACAGACCACGCTGAAAAGCCAAGTTTGCAAATTAAAGGGACTCGTTTAAACAGACAACAGGCCATTGCTTCTTGTGTTCTTTCGGGACGTGTAGCTGTCGTCATTACATGGTGTTTGATTTATGACAGCGTTAGTTCCAACGTTGGCATTGTTTAAACAGAACATACAGTCTAAATATTAGGTTTGTTCTCATTGCCCCCGTATTTGTGTTACATGATGCGGACGTTTTTATAATTGTTACAATATGAGTACATGTGATTAAGGCTATTTCAAATCAAACATGAAAAACTAAATGACTCACTATAAAAATATTTTGCTAGTGTTCATTCACAGCGGCAATCAACGTTAATGTTAGCTAAAATTGAGAAATGTCTCGATCGTCGTTCTCTGAATCGCAATGCACGTAGCTCTTATTGTTTACATATATCGCCATCTTTGTCATTATTTTAAACACTAACGTAAGCAGTTAATTGCAAATAAAGTTCGCGAGACAGAACTCCTTAAATTGATAGTGGTACCATCTTCCTAGAATGTCGGATTCTCATGCAGTCAAACTAAACATACTTTATGTTGTACTATTAACAGATAACATCAGATCTTGTAGGAGTTACTACTAAAGTACAACTGAAGAAATAGGCACCACCACAAATGAGGAGTTAAGTTACGATGGCATATGTATGTACCTTGCTTTATCTCACGCCGCCGTGATATTGCTGGAATATTACTAAAAGCGGCGTAGAACCATACTCACTCACTTTAACTAACATGTTTACAGAGACTTGAAGAGGAAAGTCATCATTGCTTACGTGCATTCCAAGATTCTTCACACAGAATATTCTCGCTCAAGTGATGAAAATAACTGCACCGTTCACAGTTCACATAACGCACCTGTTTGTTGCCCAATGTACTGCAGTTAACGTTGTTCATAGGTTCCACAAACTATTACCACAAGGTGCAAGATGATATCAATATATAAGCGACAAAATTATTTCCATAAACATAAACATACGAAATTCTCGGACAGCTGCAGTTTAGGAATCTTTCAACAAGGTATTTGTAACCAAAAATACCCCCCCCCCCCCCCCCCCCCCCCCAAATCAATGAATATCGTGCTTATAATGTAGAAGGTCATACTCATATTTTACGATAAATATGTTTATGCAAATATTGGGGAGGGGTATTTTCTGAATTCATAGTAATGACGATACTTTTACTATAGAGCATACGTGGTAATGCATAGTGGGAATGGGAATTGTCTCAGGTAGTTCGTTTGTAGTCTTTTAGAGACATAAAGATTGTATGGGTGTTAATGACAAAAATAAGCCATTTCATTCATATAACTAAGAATACCCATAAGAGATGCAGTGAAAAACAATTATTCAACCTTCTTTGCACGAGGCTTATAGGATTTAAACATTACATTATGAACATTATCAAAATGATTTACACACTTCTTGAAACTGGTGTTTATTAAAATATTTGAGAAATTTATTATTTTTGTTGTTGCTGGTTGGAAACAATAGTTTGGAGCATCTTCCAATATTTGTCTCGTTTATTCAGAAGGCTAAATGGTGTCAGAGTGCTCAATATTTGACCCCAATCCCTTTTTGCAAAGAAGCCGATTTGTCCCTGACATGATGACAAAGCAGCCCAAGCCCGAAACTCTATCTCACACAATACTAAGTCCTGAACACACTCATGCCCCTTCCTGACATGCTGATTTGCACTTCATCAATGGTCGGAAATGTTAATTATTCAGCGCAGAAATTTGACACCTTACGCGAGACCCACACCTGCATGCCAAGGTAACACAGGTCCTCTCATCCCCAGCGTTTGTCACCAATTGTGATGACAATACAAAGCCTATCATAATATTTAAAGTCAATATCTCTCTGTTAGTCCAGAACTGCTTACACCACTTCTCCAACACCGCCCGTAATGTCATGCTTTACTGGTTCAGTGAGCGACCTTCTTTCTTACTGACTCAGCAATTTCGGCAATTGATGAACCTCTGGTGGTAAATGTGGTGGTATTTAATGATTGTGCATTTTAAGTCGTTGAATGATGAGAAATAGTTTCGCTACAGATTTCCTTGATATGAATTCCAGCCCATCGCGGTGTACATGCAGTTGTTTGGAGACATTGGGCAGACAAATTTATTCAACACTTCTCTCTTTACGGCTTCAATAGAACTACGTGTAACACCCAGTTGAACAAACAACATACGAATAATCACGACCGTAGATCGGAGTCGTAGCATTCTCTCTTTATAACAAAAATGTAAGGAATATAACAAAAGGAGAGATACATTCGTTTAGGGCGTAATCGAGAAACACGATTAAAATAATGTAAACACATTTTTCTTAATGCAATGCCTATGGCCAATGTGTTTGCCAACTGTGGACTAGAAATAGTGATATAATAGCGTGTCAAATTATCATATTGAATGAAAGCTGAAGAAAGATTTGAAAGCATGCTGAACGGAAAGGCCCGAAAGTCATACCTCATTGATGTTTGAGCATAAACAAGATAAGCATGATTTCGTTTATTATTGGGAAATATCTGCTGTAGGTAATTGTCTCAAACGCTGATTCTCTACCTCAATGTAATGTTCTTCAAGGTCGACTTGTTTCCTAGAGGTGAGTGAAGTGAAATTGAGTTTAACGTCGCGTCCAAGATTATAATGTGTGTGGCTGCTTGGACTAGTCCGGACTGATGCCGATTTATAGTGCTAGCTCACAGAGATACCACGCCGCAGTTTAACATGCATACCCCACTCAGACACAGCATACTGATTCCGCATCGAACAGTCCTTCTTTTAGCCTCTTAATGCCGAGCGCCAGACAGGGTAACAACAAGTACCATCTTTTAACGACTTTCAATATAACGCGGCCGGGGATCGAACCTCGGAACCTCCGCTCTCCGGGCGGACGCTCTACCACTAGACCACGGAGGCGGTCTGTTTCCTTGGCATTACCGGTTCGGCATGATCTGCCTACCCTTTCCGCTAACAGTTGTCCATTCATATTATTTTCAAAACCATTTTGCACACCAAAATGGAATCTGTTACGGCAGATGATCTAGACTGGTTATTCTCTTGCATTGACATTTACTTATTGTCCTCGTCTAAAAACAAATATAAATCACACAGCTAATTGAACAGGACATGTGACACGTCGACAGTTGTATATTTTTTCTCCCTCTCCTTCCAGTTTCAAATGTCTCCAGCCTATCGACCCCATTGTGTTGGACGTATGTCAGGAAGAAAACAAGCTCTCCAAGGTCGTCGCTATCTCCATGTCCAGTAGCAAGCAACATGTGAGTTGAGCAAATCTGACATTAATTTAATCATTACCACGTGTGTCCGTCCACCAGATAGAAGGTCCCATTGTTTGTCACCATTGATCAGAGACTTGGTCTTGGGTTCTGTTACATCCCCGGTGTTAGGATGTGTGCTATGCTGGAGAAAGGAAACAGGATTGACCGTGTCATAGTTACAGTAGTTGACACGTCGTGCGTGATGATGACGATCATGATGTTTGCCCAGAGTTGTATTGATTACTTTAGTAAATTAGTTCATGTTGACACACTGGGACACCGAGACCATGGAACAGAACCAGTAAAGTGCTTATCAACATACATTAAACATGTATACATTTCAAAACATGATAGATATTGGTGCTGCGATGACTTCTGATAATGTCTGTAGATTACTTTTGTCTTGCGTTCGCTCGTCACGCCGAAGACCCGGGTTCTATTCACGACATGGGTACAACGTGTGACACCCATTTCTGGTGTCCCCCGCCGTGATATTGCTGGAATATTGCTAAAAGCTGCGTAAAATCAAACTTACCTATTCACTCACTTTTGTATGATAATATCTAGAGTGCTCAAGTTCACCCTATAACGTTTGACACTTAACCAATTGCATAGCTCGTTGAGATAATATTGCAATTTTAGAAATATTAGAATCAGAAGACGTTTGCCCTATAACGATTGACACTTAACCAATTGCATTGCTCGTTGAGATAATATTGCAATTTTAGAAATCTTAGAATAAGAAGACGTTCGCCCTATAACAATTGACACTTAACCAATTGCATTGCTCGTTGAGATAATATTGCAATTTTAGAAATCTTAGAATCAGAAGACGTTCGCCCTATAACAATTGACACTTAACCAATTGCATTTCTCGTTGAGATAATATTGCAATTTTAGAAATCTTAGAATCAGAAGACGTTCGCCCTGTAACGATTGGCACTTAACCAATTGCATTGCTCGTTGAGATAATATTGCAATTTTAGAAATCTTAAAATCAGAAGTATGCACCAAGTTGAACACGATGACTGGTTGTGCGGGCATGCAGTTTGGGGAGACTGTCCAAACCTCTTTGCAGGTGCAACATTATTTCAAGAATAGGGGAAAAACAATTTATACAATCATAAAAAGTCTATTGTCCTTGTTTTAGATATTAATAAGTTATATGTCTAACATGGTCCACCATTGTTTGCTTCCACTGTACACGTATGTTGACGATGTTGCAGGGGGGTAGCCTATCGGTGGAGTTGTCACTGGTGGTACATGACGATGACGTTGCCGAGGTCTTGGACGTGTTTCAAGTTCACTCAAGTCTCCAGTCCACCAGCGAGGGGGTCACGAGACTCGAGGCTATTGGCAGAGACAGACAGACCAGGTGATTACGATAAGGGTGATAAATTAAAGGGGAGGGGTGGTGCAAGGAGGGGCTATACTCAACGATGTCATCGTAATAAAAGATTTGTGTCTGTGTGTAATGATAATTGGTTTCACACCTTTCAAAATGCAAATAATGCAGACCCATATGTTGGTGTTTGGGGGATAAATTGTAAGGAAGCAAAATGGGTAATGTAAAGGTCATAATTTATGAAACATAATGTAAACACATTATTGTTAAAGGATATTATTTTTCTTTCCAGGATCCAAATTGCCCTTCACCGAACCTGTATCTCACCTAGCATGATGGTTCTAGACCGGTCTAGGAGAGAAAACAAACTGGGTAATGGACCTGTTCAGATCAGTATCACAGACCGCTTGTCGAGTAGTTCAGCGAGAGAAGAGAGTATCTTCTCCGGAGAAGGCGAGCAGTGGACTTCATCTTTGGACGACCTTGTGAAGGACTCTCTCCATCGGCTCCAGGAGCGGATGACAGACGCAATGAATTCGGTTTCTTCCAGCATTGCTACGGCTTCTGATACTCCAGGATCTACCTCTGTGCAGACGGAAACGGAAACACAAGCGACGACGCCTTCGACTTCACCAACATCTACTGAATATGCAACAATGTCAAAAACACAAACAGTTTCGGATGCAACAACTACATCGACACCATATACAACCACTGAGACTACCCGAGTTTCATCAGCCCCACCCACAAAGAAGACTGCTGAAGTTGAGAGGGATATAGAACCCAAACCAGTCAATAGAAAGCCAGGTTTAATGGAAGATGAGGAATTTAAATGGGCAGCTGATGAACAAGAACCTCGTGTCATAAAACAGATAAATGATCAGGATTTTCTTGATCAGCTTTTGGACTCTCTCCGTGACGGTGCCAATGTTAATCCTGTCAGAGGCCCTCCTACACCTCTATCTTTCTCTAAACCGCATGTTCCAACAACTACTTTGTCGACAACAACTACTGTCCCACCACCAGTGCCTACAAGAACTACGCCTGGCGTTTCGTCTTCAGTAAAAACACCATCAGCTCGAGGAGTAGACTTCAACCCATGGTCAGAAATAATCAACCCAAAATCAACCAACGGCACCGATGGAAGTCCAAGTGATGAGAAAGTAAAGTTAAATATCGGTGTGGGTGATGGCGAGACAAACGATGATCTGAACCCTCTTGTAGGTGTGCCAACAGGGAAGCCAGTGGTAAACGCAGATGATGCAGCGACGAGTTCAATTACTCTACCACGTCCAAGCCCAACTACAGCATCAACAACATCGACAACAGCGACAACATCTGCAACCACAACTCCAGATTTGACAAGTAGTGGGTTGCAAGAAACATTCTCATCAAAGACGACAGACTCCACAACAAGGGCCGGGACGACAAACCGTTTCGTACCAGACAACCCACCAATCGCTAGAGTGACAAAACAAGCACCAAAAGAAGAAATTTCTCCGAGAACCCCTGACACAACTACAGTGGTATCAACATCTACGGCATCAACACCCGCAGGTGAAACCGTGTCGCCAGTCACTACATCTAATAACAAACTTAGAGAGTTGAAGTTGATAGACACAACAACCGACTCTGGGAACACTCGTAACGATGTCATCAGGGCAGGGACAACAACTGACAAATCTATAGGCACAACACAAACCCCTACGTCTACGACCCTAGAAGCATCATCATCATCATCATCATCAACAACAAGAACAACTACTACACCAACCACAACACCGACTACGACAACTATTACAACGACAGAGGCAACAACGGCAAAGAAATCAGCCACTACATCGACTACACGGTCAACTACTCCAACACCAAGTACGACTGCAACAACAACAACAACAACAACAATTAACCCGAGTCCATCCACTCGCAACAATAAACCTAATCCTCCATCAACAGCTACCGCAACGACAACTTCCACCACCCCAACCACCACAACGATTAACGTCACAAAAACGTCACCAGCTTTGAAAGCAACTACACCTGTGTCACCTGGAATCAATTCCTCGTCAACATCAACACAGGCACCGCCCAGCACTACTACCGTGATAACAACTCCTTTTGAAGATCTGTCATCAGGACACACGCCAGGCCCACTGCTAGCTACCAGCAGTGAGTCCAAAGCTGGAGGACTTTCTGTTTCCGTTTCGGGAGATCCGGAAAATGACGACACTTTCTGGCCTGTCGTGGCAGCACTGGTGATTGGGATACCGTCGATCATCGTGTTTGGAATAGCTATAACTGTTATACATAAAAGGAGGTTAGGCCACCCTACTCGTTTTAGATCACAGTCCACGTACCCATCGCTTTAGTGCGCACGTCACGCTTCACCCCAGCACCCACAAGTCAAGGTAGGCATGCGCAGTGAGCATATCCTGTGCAGTGACCTTGACTTTCACTCCCTTTACATAATGCATTACCACTATATAGCAACCAGTATTAGTATTCACCTGACTAACAGCATGTATTGTACCCCCATGTATCATGTATAGATCTCTGCACTTGCACTGCATGCAGTAGGTCACCCAGTTCTGTAGAGGAAGTTATATGTTTTAACTACCCGGCGTCGTACAATGCACACATACTGTATCAGCCAGTTGCACATATGACTTTAAAGGGGAGTTGGCTCCAGCTTTCTGGCATTCCCAGCAACTTTGATTCAAGTTTCTTAAACACCCTTCGTCTGTTGCTAGTTTTTGTCATTTGGTAACAGTTAGTAAGTGTCCAAATTACCCAGAGACAATGTCAAAGTGTCATACATGGTATTAGTTATTGCGTCTAGAACTAGACTGAAAATGGACACAAGACAGTGAAGCATAGTCTCCTTTTAAATATGACCGGGGAAGACTATTGTCTAGTTTCAGTCTATGTTTAGAGTCAGTACATTGAGTCAACTGTAACATTGCATCTGTGTTATAAGAATGGCGTGAATCAACACCTGCTTGGTGTCCCAAGTGACTAGAGCTTCCCTGTTTCCGTTGTCGCGATACATTTATGTAAATTAAAATAGAATTCCCATACTTTAGCTCGTAAAAACACATTTGACATATGGAACACTGACTGTCTTTTCGACTACCTAGTTCAGGAACAAAGTTGAAAAAAACCAAAGAATTCAAAAGGTAGTTAATGTTAACCTGAGTCATCCGCTTTTCCTTTTGACTCCTGGATAATTCCGATAGAAAAACATAACATGTAAACTCTGTCGCCATCAGTCAGCGTCTAAATGCAAGACCTCAGGACGACCTCGAGGTATGTCCTGTTGACGTGGCTTGGCAGCCCTGTGCACTCGTCAAGACGGTTATCTTATGTAAGCTATAAACATCGCAAGTACCCTCACAACGACCCTAGAATGTGTTCGTGTGATGTCATGTCTTGACGGCTCCTTGAGAGAGAGAGAGAGAGAGAGAGAGAGAGAGAGAGAGAGAGAGAGAGAGAGAGAGAGAGAGAGAGAGAGAGAGAGAGAGAGAGAGGAGGACACTAATGAGGTACAAATCTTGTATTAACACAACCTATCGTCTTCTGAGAACAAAGCCTCGGGTCACGTGATAAAGTCATTTCATTGTGTGAGAAGTTTTCAGATAGCCACAGGTTAGGATGTGAAGATTTGGCACGTTCGTACGGTTTAACCTCATTGTGTGTACACACTGCAGTGCGCCTCGTTACAATGCATGGCTGTTCGCACAAAGGATACAACATCTCAGAAACAATGTGTTACATGTGTACCTCAGTACTGAACGGGAAATTGCTTAAATATCTTAAATATATTGCCAGTCACAAGGTGAACCTGTGAAGCTCGCACTCTCTCAAAAACATGTAAAATTGAATTAGATAGCTTGACGCTGAAATATTACTTGTCAGTTTTACGAGAACATAATTTAATATAAAGATATGTGTGATTATATAATTAAAAGAATGTTGGTAATGAAACGAAAGTAAACCCGGGCAGCGGGCACTCACTTAAAACAAGTACACTCTAATTGGATAGATAACTGCTGAAGTACTTATTGCCACTGCCATGTTTCAGGTTGCATAATGAAAACATTTAAAAATAGAATTAAAAAGACTGTCAGTATTAAAATTCGAACGTATAAAGCGAAAGTATACCTCCAAACTTCGTGCTTATTTTAAGTGAATAAGCTAGCTTAATTTTAAAAAGTAATAATAGTGTTGTTTTTCATTATGAGAACATGTTTTGAAAATCATGTTTGTACGAACCACCAGTTGAACCACCAGTTGAATACATCAAGAACTATTTTATGTTAACTACGAGTGAGTGAGTGAGTGAGTGAATATTGCTTAACGCCGCATCAGCAATTTTGCAGCTATTCGCGGCGAGTAACTACGAGTGAGACGCGTTGTGACAAGTGCCGTAGAGGTAGACGCGTTGTGACAAGTGCCGTAGAGGTAGACGCGTTTTGACAAATGCCATAGAGGTAGACACGTTTTGACAAGTGTCGTAGAGGTAGACGCGTTTTGACAAGTGCCGTAGAGGTAGACACGTTTTGACAAGTGCCGTAGAGGTAGACACGTTTTGACAAGTGCCGTAGAGGTATGGTAGATTACAGCAGGTTACTAATTATACGATATACCTATTGCAGTCCGTAACTGAGTTTCTAGTTTTGAACGAGTATGCAGCTTATTGGATTAAGCAGCGTTTGAAATGAGCTTTCAATGAACAGCTTTAAAAAATAAAATACAACCCATATTTACACTCAATGCAAATACCCTGATCAGTATTCGATATAGTGAGGTAAGTGTCATATTGAATATACAAAGTTTATGAATAATCATAATAGTAGGTTGCTACTTATGTACACTAGCGACTGCCTGCTACTATGTCCGTGCTAATAGTTTTATTTTGCTTTCTTTCAGGAAAATCGACACCAGCCGAGCATTTTATTTAGGCGGGCACCACCACCGGCATTCAATTGATGTTTGACATTCTCCGATAAGCCAAGAGCGTTCTGAAAGCTATGTGTGATTCCAAACACGAAATTCTCAAAATTTTAAATAATTTTGATATTTTTATACTTTGGTGTGTAAATGGTGTATGTAATATTGTTGTTGTGTTGTGATGTCTGAACGGTCAGTGTGCATGTAAATTCAAAACGCTTTTGGCTTATCGTGTCGTCGTCCTAAATCTGCTCAATGAAGAAGCTGGCCTGGTGCTTGAGCTGGCATCAGGCCCGGCACGCTAGTATTGTCCTATCTTATCAAGCAACAGTCCTGGTGTTAGGATCTCAGTAACGGTGGCGCCAGGTACGACTGGAGGGCAAAACATTCGTACAGTGAGATTTGTTGCATGTTTGTTATGCCAATGTATAATTATTTTTTTCTTGTGGTGCATACGTGCAGTTTGTTGTAAGTTGATACATTATACTGTCGTGATTGTCAAGACCCAGGCTCATGGCCCGCCCTCGCTATACAGCCTTAGAACATGAAGCCATGCCGTCCAACGGCTAATGGAGCCTAGATTAGATTGTGCCCCTGTATACAGCTCCTACAACCTGGAGCAAGTTGCCACTCCCCCTATATACAGCTCCTACAACCTGGAGCAGGTTGCCACTCCCCCTTTATACAGCTCCTACAACCTGGAGCAGGTTGCCACTCTCCCTATATACAGCTCCTACAACCTGGAGCAGGTTGCCACTCCCCCATTATACAGCTCCTACAACCTGGAGCAGGTTGCCACTCCCCCTTTATACAGCTCCTACAACCTGGAGCAGGTTGCCACTCCCCCTTTATACAGCTCCTACAACCTGGAGCAGGTTCCCACTCCCCCTTTATACAGCTCCTACAACCTGGAGCAGGTAGCCACTCCCCCTTTATACAGCTCCTACAACCTGGAGCAGGTTCCCATTCCCCCTTTATACAGCTCCTACAACCTGGAGCAGGTAGCCACTCCCCCTATATACAGCTCCTACAACCTGGAGCAGGTTGCCTCTCCCCCTTTATACAGCTCCTACAACCTGGAGCAGGTTGCCACTCCCCCTTTATACAGCTCCTACAACCTGGAGCAGGTTGCCACTCCCCCTATATTCAGCTCCTACAACCTGGAGCAGGTTGCCACTCCCCCTTTATACAGCTCCTACAACCTGGAGCAGGTTGCCACTCCCCCTATATACAGCTCCTACAACCTGGAGCAGGTTGCCACTCCCCCTTACACGATTTTATACGACCCAGGCGACCAAAACGTCTTCACCGCCCACAGAACCTATCAGTAATGATTTCCGTATTCTCCTTTTAGATTGGCCGTAGAATGGTATGGTTGTCCAGACTGTTGTCCCCTTTCAACCATCAGTGTAACCTGGACCAGAATATCCCATGATTTCTGTGCTATACCGCTCATCGAACCTAGATCCAGGCTGCACCCCCTCTCCCTTCACCCCTCATAGAGCTTAGATCAAGGCTGCATCCCCTTCACCCCTCATAGAGCCTAGATCAAGGCTGCACCCCCCTTCATCCCTCATTGAGCCTAGATCCAGGATGCACCCCCCCCCCCCCCCCCCCCCTTCACCCCTCATAGAGCCTTGATTCAGGCTGCACCCCATTCTCCTCTCCAATTCACCCTCATAGAGCCTAGATCCAGGTTGCACCCCATTCTCCTCCCCCTTCACCCCTCATTGAGCCTAGATACATGCTGCACCCCCTCCCCCTTCAGCCCTCAGATATACATACAAACGTCAAAAGAAGTAGACGTTCGAAGTAAAACGTGAGCTTGATCCTGTGCTGAGATCACGAGGGTCGGAACTTGGCGGACACCTGACAGGAAGTACAATCTCAGTCCTGTACCACAATGCTCTGCTTCCTGCTAGTGATGACGTCACGTACATCAAGTCACCTCACTGTAGCAGAGCTCTACGAATTGTAGATTAGAAACGGCTTCTTTCAGTAGACTAATCGGATTTACGCTTAACTCAGCTTTGCAAAAGCAGGCTAGACGTATATGATTTGTTCTTGTCTATTTATTTCACCTTTCGTTGTGTAAATACCATCTACGTCATTCTATGTATATGTACATAATACGCGCGTATGTGTGTGCGTGTGTGTGCGTGTGCGTGTGTGTGTGCATGTGCGTGTGTGCGTGTGTGCGTGTGTGTGCGTGTGTGTACATCATGTTAATAGACATTTGTATATTAATAATCCGTCACTGTAAATATATATTTCCGGACAGATCAAATTGGTAAATTGAAAGTCATGAAGCTGTCATACCAACCTCCTTGACAATGATGGCTGCATAGCTAAACAACAGGTTATATTATCAAGATTATTTTTCACGTGACTGTGTTCAGTAGTGTTGAAACGATTCATCGACTCATCAATTCATCCCGATATCAAAACCAACGCTACGATACACAACAAGTTACGGTTGGGTGTTTAAACGGGAAATATTCAATATATAACTGTTTTACACACTTCTCATATTCTACAAGCTGACCGACACACTTGTTTTCTATTTATAGACCGGGGCAGTGGGGTAGCCTAGTGGCTGAAGCGTAAGATCGTCACGCCGAAGTCCTGGGGCTCGATTTGCCACATGGGTACAGTGTGTGAATTCCATGCCAGGTGTGATATTGCTGGAATATTCCTAAAAGCGGCGTAAAACCATACCCACTCACTACCATGCAGTTTGGGGCTGCATTGGGATTATCATGGATTCGCTGCTGTATCAAACTAGCACTCCGTGCGTACAGCTTTACTCTGGAGTTGTGTAAACGGGTACGGATTGTGACGTCAGTGAATCGTTCCAGCTCCTCTATTCACTTAATGTAAACGCCTTCCTACTTTCATGCTTTTCTCCCCAAAATTAGAGGTAGTCATCAAGTCATTTTAAAAGGTTAGAAGACCTAACTTTGCATGAGTCCTAAATACTTCACAAATGAATTGTCCTTCTTCACACATAATCGGCACGACATCTTGTTTAAACGTATCTCGCATTACAACAATCAAACTAGTAATCGTATTTTCCTTGTGTCTTGTTATATAAAGTTTACACTCAAATCGTTGATGACTACCTTTAAGCAGTGAAGCCGTGAAGCCGTGAAGCCGTGATATAACTGAAATACTGTTTAGTCGGCTCGTTCACTGTAATTAATAGTTTGTCATTGTAAACATGTACATAGTGATGTATCTGGTACATGTACGTACGCTTCATCCATTTGTACATAATGTTCTGTGTATATAACATCATGTCTTCATCGTTCTAATAATCGAATAAAACAATATCAATATAACCGTTCGTGTGTTTGTATATATTTATCTGAAATATCGGCATGTAGGTATTGTCGCATATCACTTATCCAAGGTTGTATTTATTTACCAAATGAAAAGTGGTTATGAATTTTTCACACATTGTTTATGGGCAGGCTATCATATTCATACAAAAATAACATTATTTCGTGGGTACAGAAATTGATTTGTTTGCATGTGATAGAGATACAATCATAATCACATCTAAGGTGTTGACGTTTAAATTAGAATTAAAATGTGAAACAAAATCCCCACTCTTATTGCATGGTCATGATATTATGCTATAGGCGGGAAAGATAGATCCATATGACCATCACCATCACTTATTTTGCTATTTTGTTTAAAAATCCGGATTGATTTCAACGTTATGGAAATATGTGGGCATGTATATTATTAACCATTTTGCTCAGCTTGGCCCATAGAGAGAGTCTGGTCAGTAAGACTTTATATTTTCATTAAATCGTGTTTGAAAACGTGTAGTTTGGAAAGATGTGGGGTCCGTCTCTACATATGAAGTTGACAGTGACAACCAGGACTAGGTGTTGAGTGAGTGAGTGAGTGAGTGAGTTAGTGGGTGGGCTGGTGAGTGGGTGAGTGAGTGGGTGGGCTGGTGAGTGAGTGAGTGGGTGGGCTGGTGAGTGAGTGAATGAGTGAGTGGGTAGGCTGGTGAGTGAGTGAGTGAGTGAGTGGGTGGGCTGGTGAGTGAGTTAGTTAGTGAATGAGTGATGCAGGTCGTAGATGTCCATTGCCGTGGTGAAACCCACGAGCATGAGTATCGTGTCGACAAACCTAGAAACCTAATCAGGGCGAATCGGGGTGTGCAACCAGTGATCAAAGGTTTCTCGAAGGCCTCTGCACAGCGAATTGGCCTATGAGCACGGGTATGGTGCTGACAAACCTAGAAACATAATCGGGGCGATCCGGGATTCGAACCCACAATCATAAGTCTCTGGCGTGCCCAAGGAACGCAACTCTGCACAGCGAATCGCGGCGCCTTAGACGACTGGGCCGCCCGTGCCCCCTATAGGGCATTTAGAGTGTAGTGTGATAGATTATGGTTCAACATCGAGTGACATGTTCCCCGATGATGATGAATGTCTCTGTAAATTATTTTTTAAATGCGTTCAGAAGAAACTCAAGATAACTCATACCTTATTTATTACACTAATATATGAAGGTCGGTTATTATAATCTACGAAACAATACAGTGTAGTACAACATGTATTTGGGTGACTGTGAACAGTACAAACCGCTACGAGCGTGGGGAAATGCACGGAACGCCAGCATGAGTCTTGTTCTGTGCATAAAACATAAGATTGTGTAGTGAGCGTGTTCTTGCTGCACCTGTGCAAGGGTTTTCTCTTCTTGTTGGTGGAGTGGTCGAGTGACAACTTCTCTTCCTTGTACACAGTTCTTGTGAAATATTAAAAACTCTTTTTTTATTACGAGTTATTGTCTTGTGAGTGAGCAATGTTTTACGCCCTTGAGCGGTATTTCATTTACTTCACGGCGTGCCAGCTTTATGTGGGAGGAAAGCCCAGTTGATGACTGTTACTAATTGGGTGAAACCCACCAACTCGGGTATGGAGCTCGCACACCCAGAAACATGATCACGGTCCATTTTGGGTTCCAACCCACGATCTTGTTTCTGACAGAACCCTGCCTAGCGCCTCAGACGACTGGGTCACCCGTACCACCTGTCTGACATGACGAGGGAGGGGAACGGAGGGCATTTGAAAAATGCAGGTTGTGTGATAGTTTTGACATTGGAGATGAATTCCCCTTTATTTTCAGATGAAAATAGGGGCGGTCGGGTGGCATAGTGGTTAAAGCGTTCGCTCGTCACGCCGAAGACGGGTTCGATTCCCACCATGGGTACAATGTGTGAAGCCCATTTCTGGTGTCCCCCGCCGTGATATTACTGGAATATTGCTAAAAGTGGCGTAAAACCATACTCACTCACTCCCTCAAATGTAAATATTTCAATGAACATAGGGACATGTACATCCAAAACCAAACATGTTACAACTCCAGCAATTATTTAACTGCCATAAGATATCTGTCCAAAACAAACTATGTAAATTTGTAAACATTATAACCAAAGTTGTAAAAACTCCCGATTAACCCCTGTCCACCGCAATGTAAAATACTGTTTGTACCTTACATGCCGATGGGCTCGGCCTGAGAAAAAAGTGCTGTTCTGTTTTGTTCTGGTATTCTGGGTCTCTTTCTGTCATCCATATTTCGTCAACTCCGGCTGAATGATATCACCAGTTGTACTTCTTACAGCGCGGATATCTTCCCTAACCTATACAAACCGAACACCTATGTATTAGTAGTTGTGTGAAAATTGATTTGTATAATTTTAACACGAACATTTTTTACAACTATCAAATGAGGAAATAGATTTCAATCTGTTTACGGCTGCTGGAGCAAGCAAACCAGTGGTTGATAGTGTGAGAGTCAAACTGCAAATGAACAACAACAGGCAGATTTAAGCCTCGCAACGTTTTCCTATCGTTTGTAATTTGTTGGTCAAATCCAATTTTCAAGGGACCATTTTCTTTTGCCGAGCAGTTCACACAAATCAATAACAGCAGTCAGTTTCACGTGGGATCAAAGACGATCTGAGCTTTAGTTCAGCCCAGGGTTGTCCAAGGTCTATTATAGTTAAAAATCTCCAGTCCATTTACACAGGTGTTTCACGCCGCACTTAGCAATATTCCAGCTATTTGACGGCGGTCTGTAAATAATCGAGTCTGGACCATACAATCCAGTGATTGGCATCATGAGCATCGATCCACGCAATTTGGATACGATGACATGCATCAACCAAGTCAGCGAGTCTGACCAGCAATCCTGTTAGTCGCCTCTTACGACAAGCTCGTCACCATATGGCTGAAATTATGCCGAAGTGACGTTAAATTTTAACCCACTCACTCACTCACTCACTCTCACAACAAGCAAAGTCGCTTTTTACGGCAGGCATGGGTTGCTGAAGACCCATTCTAACCCGTACCTTCACGGGTCTGTTTCGAAGAGAAATATAAAGCCAGTTTTAATATAACAGAATCATCTTGTACAAACAGCCAACGTAACAGCTACGTGTGGACTCGGTATGTATGTTATCAATGTGGACAACAACCCACGCATGGCTTGGGCTATTTATAACCACCCCGTTCTCGTGTCCTCACACTCAAACATGTTACAGTCGATTCATTGAGTAATGAATGGAACACAAGTTTTTTGTTAAAAAAAGTAAATGCATACATTAACAACGATGTTTGTTTCATTGGAATACTACTTTTGACTTACTACTTATTCCACAAGTCAAACGTTGTTTGCACGCAGAGATCGATTTAGCGCCTGACTCATATCAAGAGCACATAACTCTACACAATATTCGCAAGTGTTGATTCAATTATTCGGTAGAGCTCCTGCTAGCTGTACAAAGCCAGTGTTCCCTCCGTTGGATTTAGCAACGTTGTCTTATATTAAAATATATAATACACCAAGCCGTTTACAGGTTAACCATATCTAAACAAGAACTGATTGAAATAGGAAGCTGAAAGCTCAACGTGTATAGTACGTCGGCGATGAAGACTACGTTGTGCCTACGTTGTGTCGACGTTGTGCCTACGTTGTTTCGACGTTGTGCCTACGTTGTGTCGACGTTGTACCTACGTGCTACGCTGTAGTCTCGGTGACTGCCCACCCGCTGACTGACAGTACTCGGAGGGCCTCCCTGCCGAAGAGACACAAGGTAGACGACAGAACACACAGTGAGTATAACATGACAGTTGACCAACACCATGTGACAGTGGACAATACTGTTCACTGCCGGAGACGATTCTCGATTTTATCTGGGTGTATATTCTTTACACAGCCCACTGTCGTGTCTCACAGTTCACAGTTACTTTGTATGAAAACACTACAGTCTGTATCTCCATGTACGTTTATAGTAGCTGTCACTTCAGTGTGTGAAATCACAGGGGCATGTAATACACTCGATTGTCACTGACAGTAGCTCACAAGGTATCGCAGGCCATTTATGTTCTAATGCATAGTAAACGTTACAGCTACACCGTCTTCCCGAGTCAAGGAAGTTAACTGACTATAAAAGTCCAGTTTCCACCCTCGCCGAACTAGGCTGAAATTATGGATTATTTTGGTCTATTGCAGGATTTGTAAAGCAAGTGTACCGCCAAATCGGCGTCAACAGATATTTTCCAATTTTTTTCAAGTTTTTTAATCAAGGCACTCATGCCATTTGATGCACTTCGCGAAGTAAGACCCGTTTTATCACAATAAATTTTGATTATCGGTCAGATCATCTCGACTGCACGCCGTCCTTTTGCATGAAGCAAACGCAAGTGATATGAGAGGTGGAATATGATTGGTCAATAGGAGGGACATAGAAGGATCGATACTTGTAATAGCCACTGGTGGCGCAACGATCGAGTCCAGAAATGCCAGTCTAGTTCGGCGCGGGTAGGCTTTTACAGTCAGTTGACACCTTGCTTCGGGAAGAAGCAGCTACACATGCACTGTGTATAAAATGTAAATGTACAAAAAAAACCAAACTGTTATTTGGTGATTATTTCAAAGAACTTACGTTTTGTCAAGCATTGAATAATTCGTCGTGGATAGGGTCTTGGGGAAAGTCTGAAGTCATCGCTATGCTTTGTTTCACCACAAGAACACGGAGCTGTGCATAAGAAATTTTCAAATGTTTCTAAACTTTCTCATTACAGCGGCCATGGAAAAGTCAATGAACATGTTTTCCGAGGCATGCCTGACCAGTGATGTGGCGCTTGTAGTCGAGGGTAAAAAGCTGCACGTGAACAAAACAGTACTTTCGATTGCATCTCCAGTCTTTGAAAAAATGTTCTTTGGGGAATTCAAAGAGAAAACCTTATTAGAAGTTCCCCTACCCGAGAAGACATACGACGACATGGTAGAGCTGCTTCTGTGCATTTACCCATCGACCACCCATCCGATCACAGCAGACAACATTGACGCACTACTTCCATTAGCGGAGGAATACCTTTTGACGTCACTAAAACAACGCTGTCGCACGTTTGTCACAACCTACCTGAAACTAAATGTGAAAACTCTATCTAAGTCTCAGCTGGTACATTTCATGCATCTAGCAGACAAATATGACTTTGATGATGTCCTTGAGGATTGTCTGACCCAGGCTGTGTACATTGAATACAGTGATGTCAATGGGCTACAAAACCAGGAGGGGTTCCAAGATCTCTGCGACAAGACAGCTGTCCAGTTCTTTAAGCGACGATTGGTGTTGGTGGAGGGACTTGTCAGACCGGTTTTGGAGAGCTCCACCACTGCTTCCGGGAACCTCCAAGAGGACTTCCAGACTATCATCAGCGGCAAGTGTAACGAGTTCTCCCACCGCCATGCAAGGCACGAATGTCGAGAATGTAAGGCTGTGTGTTGCGGGCGATGTCGGAAGCTCGGCACTGAAGCGATGGAAGATTTAGCTCACGTTATCAAGAATATGCTGCCTGCTTTCAAAGAGTCTGAAAAGTGATCGTTTTACAAGTCAGACGTACATTTTGATCTTAGGATACGGACATTCACCGAACAATTGAGAATGTCAGTAATGAATTGGAGAATAAATCATGTATCGCCTCATCAATAGCACAAAAGCAAAATCAAGGCGACCTGTAAATAAACGAGACCTGGCCAACCATTGGCTTAACACCGATCCATAGTTTCCATGTACATACTCAAACAGTTGACACCGGATCCTCATTTAAGTCGTCTTTTACACCAATCCTGTTTATTTGGGACGTCCACAACGAGGACTTTGTTAAAGACAAATTGTGGGACACGTGAATGTTGTTAATCCTCGTGTATTGTCATCGTGCATAATCATCAGTTTGACGGCAGTATGTTTTATTTAGTCCTATACGATGTTTTGAGAACTTTATGTTTGATACACGCGTGAATCATATTATACATGTATGCATCTGAAAAAGAAATAGGTGTTCTTGTTTTTGTAATATGCCAGGTCAAATGTTGAAATGCTAGCTGTCTTCTAAGCTTCAGCACCATTACCTTCAGGAACGTTCAGTCTTATATTGTACTGTGTACGTGAAATAACAGGACGGCAGTAGTATGTAGGCAGTACTTTGGATCTGCGTACACGACTTGTGCCACTACGTCGGTGGCATCACATTGAATTATACTACACTGCCGGGCAAAAGAAAGTATACTTATGGTTGATGGTGGCTTAATTGAAAAAACAAGAACTGGTTATTCGATAGTGATGTATTTGAAACGGGTATCACAGTTGTGTTTTGGGCCTTAAGTTTGCAGTGTTTCGGCGACTGTTTTCAGCCTAGTAACGTTTTGATAACGTTTGTAATATTTCGGCAAAATCCATTTTGCAGGTGTCTTTTGCCCGGCAGTTTACACTAAGCAATAACAACAGTTTAGTTTCACGTTGTGTCAGAGACCATGTGAGCTATGCTTCAGCCCAGGGATGTCATGCAACTAAGTCCTCCGGTCCACATACATATGCCAGAGTTTTACAAATTCGCATAAATCTTGATTTTTAGCAGTTCATATCTCTTGTAAATAGAATGTTTGACATATAATTATCAAACGTCAGCGTCAAAGAATAGTCAGCGTCGATTGTCTGAGGAAACAGATTCCTTTGGGCGTAAAAAGCAAAATCGGTGTGAAAATGATATGAATGGATCACTGTAAATCAGTGATGGCACCAGGTGTTCATGATATGAACAGTTTTACTGTGACAGAATCATCTTGTTCAAACAGCCGACGCTACAGCTTCGCAAGGACTCTTTGTGTATGTAATGTATATGTACAAAAAACACCTCACGACATTGGCTATTTATAGCGACCTCGTACTAGTGTTGTCATGCTTAAACCTGTATAAACACGTGACACTATCGACGAACGTACTCTTTAAGTGCATACATTCAAGAGCAGATAACTCTGAACATTATTCGCCACAGTTTTGATGCAAATTCCACTTCCTGCTGTAAAGTGCCTGGTGTCTGCGTTGTGGTCTGTGGCCTTGGTGACTGCCTACTCGCCACCCTGCTCAAGAGATACAAGGTTGACGATAGTGAGTATAACATGACAGTGGCCTGGCACCATGTGACTAGTGTACAATACTGTTCACTGCCGGAGACGCTTCCTCAGTTTTATCCGGAAGTATATTCTATTGTTTTGAGGGGCGGTCGGGTAACCTAGTGGTTAAAGCGTTCGCTCGTCACGCCGTAGACCCTGGTTCGATTCCCGACAAGGGTACAATGTGTGAAGCCCATTTCTGTTGTCTCCTGCCGTGATATTGCTGGAATATTGCTTAAAGCGACGTAAAACCATACTCACTCACTCACTCACTCTATTGTTTCGACACCCTGGCGGTTTTTATGAATAAACGGATTCGGATTCTCGTATGCTGTGTATTCTCAGAAAAAACACCATCGGTGGTACATGAGTATACATTACAATACAGTTCCTAAGGCCTAAATAACATACAAGTAGGGATCCTAGACGATTGCGTAATGTTGCCGTCTGATGAAAAAAAAGAAAACTACTATTAGATCTACCATTAAAAAAGGGTTTGATTCTAAACAAAGTATCAAAATATACACACATTACGGGAAAAAATAGTTTCACAGGTGTGAATTAACTGTTAATTGAATAAAACTATTATATCTGTCTGTGACAGCTGGCTTATTCACTCACCTAAAAAAACAACGAAAACACATTTAAGTACCGAACTAATGCAGTTAATATTTTCATAAAATATGTTTTCACCTCAGTATACAATAAGAAATAGTATGAATAATGATAAAGTATTTAAGAATAATGAAAAAACACCAGACTCTGCCCAAACAAGTAAATGGTCCACCAGTGTGTGGAGCTCATGGGCGTCTGCTACACCAAAATATGATATTTCCTTACAACTATTAATAAATGACTTGGTCTTCATGATATAGCTACCCCAGAGAATAGTATTTAGAGTTATATCCCCTCACTTTCTTGACAACTTGTTTTTCAGCAGTACATAGTTATTGCCTGACGCCGAACATGCAGTCATGCGACAACTCCGAAGTAGATGTCTTGATCAATTTGAGAATGTGCTTTACGAATCTTGACCCCCATAATATAAAGCTCAAAGTGTGCTAAGAATACAAATTATGAAAGGTAATACGTCAAATTGTGTGCATCTGTTCAAAAGCCGAAGACAATATTAGCGGGAAGACATGATTAATAAACAAAAGTCTGTTTTTCGTGTGCAACTCAATGCCAACAAACCACTTTTTACCAATATTCAGTCACATTACCTGTCGAGATGAGTGTATTTGGCCAAAGCTGAAACGTCAAAAAAACACGAAAAGGAAATTAACTGTCCAAAAACCAACTCTCAGTGGCGCGTATGTGATCGCATGACACCGTCGTCTCATGCTCCTAATATAGAATTTCTTATTACAGAAGCGGTCATGGAAAATTCTGAGAACATGTTTTCCGAGGAATCCCTGACAAGTGATGTGGCGCTTGTAGTCGAGGACCAAAAGCTGCACGTGAACAAAACGGTACTTTCGCTTGCATCTCCAGTCTTTGAAAAAATGTTCTTTGGGGAGTTCAAAGAGAAAACCTTATTAGAAGTTCCGCTACCCGGGAAGACATACGACGACATGGTAGAGCTGCTACTGTGCATCTACCCATCGACCGCCAATCCGGTCACAGTAGACAACATTGACGCACTACTTCCACTAGCGGAGGAATATGCAATGATGTCTCTAATGCAACGCTGTCGCAGGTTTGTAAAGACCTACCTGAAACTACACGTGCGAACTTTATCCAAGTCTCAGCTGGTACATTTCATGCATCTAGCAGACCAATATGACTTTGATGATGTCCTTGAGGATTGTCTAGCTCGGGCTGTGCACATTGAATACAGTGGCACTAATGGGCTACAACACCAGGAGGAGTTCCAAGATCTCAGTGACAAGGCGGCTGTCCAGTTCTTTAAGCGGCGATTGGTGTTGATGGAGGGACCTGACAGACCGGTGGTGGCAAAAGCCGCCCCTACTGCGTTTATGAGATACCCAAAACCAGTAGTGAATTGATGAATGAAGTGTGTTTCGCTGCAGTCAGTAGCATAATAGCTATATCAAGGCGACCTGTAAATAATCGAGTCCTGGACATGCTCAAACAGTAGACACCGGATCTTAATTTAACTCGTCTCTAACAACAATCCTGTGTTACTAGGCACATACATAAGGAGGCATTAAAGACAAATTGTATACAACTATATAAGAGGTTCTTTGACAATAGGTCTGAGTGAAACTGTTGACATCGAATATGTTTCAGTTCTCTGTTGCTTATGTATATTAAAAGTTATTTCACAGAACGTCTAATCACAAGGATCACAATGTATGTTAGAACCAATTTCCCTTCATCAAGTTTTTTTTTATCTAAGTTACAATCACTTTGCCTTCTCATGTTCAAGATTTTCACAAAGTAAAGGGTAAAATTATGTGTTGTTTGATTGTTTATTTGTCGTATCTCTGCCTTACTTCAAAACGTCTTTACGTTGATAGATGGGACAAGAAAGGATTTCAGAGAAACTTAGCCTTATTTTTTTGTTTTGTTTGTTGTTTAACGCCGGACTCAGCAATAGTCCAGCTATATGACGGCGGTCTGTAAATAATCGAGTCAGGACCAGACAATCCAAGGATTGATATCATGAGTATCGATCCACGCAATTGGGATACGATGACATGCATCAACCAAGTCAGCGAGCCTGACCACCCGATCTCGTTAGTCGCCTCTTACGACAAGCATAATCGCCTGTTACGGAAAGCATGGGTTGCTGAAGACCTATTCGAACTCGGATCTTCACGGGGTGAGACAAGCATGGGCTGCTGAAGACCTATTCGAACTCGGATCTTCACGGGGTGAGACAAGCATGGGTTGCTGAAGACCTATTCTTCCCCAGATCTTCACGTGTTCCTTCTATAATAAGCTGGCTTATGACCAGACCCCGATTTCTCCATAAATTAATTCCATAAACCAGAGGATGCAATGTGTTGATAGCATTGACAGTAAATTAACTATGATTGACAATAAGCTGACATCTCTCGACATTACAATGATAGAGACAACACTTCGCGTTGATAAGCTTGAAGCCTGTGTGAGAGAGACTGCATCAGAAAACAAAAAGCTGAAACAACAGGTACGGGAGCACGCTCTATGAGAGATAATCTACTCTTTCACGGGATCCCGAAAATGCCTGGAGAAGAACCTAAAGAGGTAATTAAATGTTTCTTAAAGAAAGAAATGAAGTGTGACACAGACATTCACCTCTTACGTGTACATAGGATTGGCCCTCACTTATCTAACAGACCACGTACTATAGTGGCAAAATTTGCAAATCCAGACGAACGGTGGGAAATCCTGACTAACACAAGACAGCTGAGAGAAACGCAATTCGGTGTTAGTGAACAATTTCCTCAAGAGATTGTGCAGAGACGAAGAGATCTACTCCCCATTTTCAAGGAAGCAAGGAGGCGTGGTTTGAAGTCTAACCTCACTGTAGACAGACTGTATATAGACGGGAGACGTGTGTACCCAGGAGACGACCCGTTTATAGATCTCACCCCACGAGGCCCTCCCCCCAGCAGGAGATCATACGCGAGTGGCGTCGGTCGGTCAGACAACAGACAACCAAACAAGATGGCCAGGACTGAGGACACGGGAGAAAACAGGCCGCGGTAGGAGAATAACGGAGGTCAGCAAATACGTGAGTCGCCTAACAGTGAAAACGTAACTTCCCACGAGAAACTTAAGATACTGTCTCTTAATGTGTGTGGTATTAGGACAAAGATGTTGAACCCCGATTTTGTGAACGATGTGTCCAGATACGATATACTGTGTCTGACTGAAACTAAAACGTGTGATTTAGATGCTGTGAACATCCCAGGATTCTCAGTTCATATGAATAACAGAACTAACGCACTGAACACACGTGTGTCTGGCGGGATCATTGTAGCCATCAAAGAGACACTATTTGACATGTCAAGGTGAGCGTCATCGAAAAGATACATGATATTGTTTTATGGTGTAAGATACCAAGTGATTACCTGCATGTTAACGATGACCTTATCCTAGGAACTGTCTATATACCACCAGAGCAAAGTAGATTTCATTCACCGGAAATATTTACTACACTAGAAAATGATATCATTCGTATGTCAAACTGCTCACAGTACATGTGTATTGTTGGTGATATGAATTGTCGTACTAAAAATCTTCCGGATTTTATCATTTTGGACGAATTTTTATGTGACAATGATATTACTGACGAGGAATTATTGTTTTCAAATGTACAACTTCTAGTTGACAACGGTGTAAAATTAGATAGAATATCAATGGATACTGAAACAAACTGTAACGGGTATAAACTCCTAGATTTATGTAAAAATAACCGGCTGTATATTGTGAATGGAAGATTAGGCAAAGACAAGGGTATTGGTAAACTGACATGCAGAAATGCCAGTGTTGTCGATTATTGTATTGCATCAGCAGAAACATTCCCATTATTAATAGATTTTGAGGTGCAGGAGTTTGACCCGATCTCGTCCGATGCACACTGTGGCTTATCGTTAACGTTAGATTGTACAGCACAACTGTCTCCAGTTATAGATGATGACAAAGATGTACATGTACAAAAAGTTGTAAAAAGATGGGTTCCTGATAAAAGTGAAACATTTTTATGTATCGATAAGGTTGCCATTACCCATCAGTGTACAGAATTAGATGCATGTAAAGACCAAATAGAGCCAAATGACATTAACCAAATTGTAAATAAACTCTCTCAGACGCTGGTTACTGCGGCTGAAACTACTCTAGGTACTGTAAGAAATTCTAGACACTCTGTACATAAGCACAAGCATAAACCCTGGTTTGATGAAAAATGTAAATCATCACGTAGATTTTACCACAAGCGTAAACGTATATATGGAAGGACTAAAGACAGTAATAGCAAAGCTATGTACATTTCAGCTAGTAGAGCTTATAGTAAAACCCTATAGAAGGCATTTAAGACATATCAAAACAAATGTGTCCAACAACTGAGGGAATGTAAGGATAGTAACCCTAAGAATTTTTGGGAAATTTTAAAATCATTTGAACCAAAGAAAACAGCAGAAATAATCAGTATTGACAAATTTTTCGAATTTTTTAAAGACCTTAATCAAAGTTCTGATGATAATGACGATGTTTTTGCCAATAACACATATTATGATAATCATGATGATATCTTAGATTGTAGGATTACAGAAGAAGAAATTATGTCAGCTGTCCGTGCATTGAAGAACAATAAGGCTTGTGGGTTGGATGGTATTTACAATGAGTACATTAAAAGCTCTATTCAAGTTATGATGCCGGTTTACGTGAGTTTTTTAACCTCGTTTTTGACACTGGAGTTTTACCTGAAGCTTGGCTTGTTGGCAAAATAAAACCAATCTACAAAAACAAAGGAAACCAAGCTGACCCAGACAATTACAGAGGTATTTCTATCCTAAGCTGTTTAGGTAAATTGTTCACTACACTATTGAATAATCGTTTACAAGCTTACTCAGTTCAGACTAATCTGATAAGCGAAGCGCAAGCAGGATTAAGGAAAAAATACTCAACAATTGACAATATGTTTATTCTTAAAGCTCTCATTGATATCTATAGAAATCTTAATAAGAAGTTGTATTGTGTTTTCGTCGATTTTAGCAAAGCTTTCGATACAGTATGGAGGTGTGGTCTGTGGACAAAAATGATAAAGTCTAATATCAAAGGAAAATGTTTTAATGTCATATATAATATGTATCAAAATATCAAATCTTGTGTTTCACATAATAACAAGGTGTCAGGTTTCTTCCCATGTCAAACTGGTGTAAGACAAGGTGAAAATTTGTCACCTTTCCTGTTTGCTTTGTACCTTAATGACCTTGAACAATTTTTATCTGAAAATGACTTTGAAGGACTGCATAATGTAAATAACCTTTTAATAGATTCACTTGAACTGTACATAAAACTTTTTATCATTCTGTATGCCGATGATACTGTTTTAATGGCCGAAAGCCCAGAAGATTTAAGAAAGTGTCTCACTATATTTGAAGAATATTGTACTATCTGGAAACTTAAAGTCAATGTTGACAAATCGAAAGTTGTTATTTTTGCCAAGCGCTCCACAAATAGAGTCAGTTTTATGTTAAATGACTCGATTCTTCATGTTGTTAAAGAATATGTTTACCTTGGTATTTTATTTACAAACACTGGTAGATTCTGTAGGGCACTAAAGAGACTGACAGATCAGGCATCTAGAGCAATGTACGCTGTATTTCGTAAAATTAGAATATTAGAAATTCCTATTGACTGTCAACTGAAATTATTTGATTAACTTGTTCAGCCTGTATTGTTATATGGATCTGAGGTGTGGGGTTTTGAAAATGCTGTTTTCATTGAACGTGTACATCTTAAATTTTGTAAATATATTCTCAAGTTAAAACAGTCAACACCCGATTACATGGTATATGGTGAACTAGGGAGGTATCCTCTCAGCATTTTCATTAAGATAAGAATGATTTCATATTGGTGCAAGCTAACATCATCACAAACTAGCCTTTCTAGTATAGTATATAAACTTATGTTTCAAGTGTCCATTGCAAATCCAGATTACCATTTCCCACTATTAAAAGAAGTAAAATGCATTCTTCAAAATATAGGCTTTAATTACATTTGGCTGTCTCAAACCTTTATTAGTGCCGCATGGTTGAAACAAAATGTGAAACATGTTCTCATTGATAATTTTCTGCAAAGATGGCGAGAATCAAAGGAAAATTCATCTAAAGGTTACTATTATAACATGTTTAAAGAGTTACCATCTCTAGAACCTTATTTACTAGAACTACCAATCACCCAACGCATCTCTCTTGCTCGTTTTAGAACAGCAAATCATAGATTACCTATTGAAACAGGAAGATGGTATAATATTGTGAGAGAGGAAAGAAAATGTACATTGTGTAAAATTTTTATATGTGATGAAATGCACTTTTTATTAGAATATCCAAAACTCTCAGAAATTAGAAACAAGTTTTTGCCTCAGTACTACTGTATGTATCCTTCTGCCGTAAAATTCTCCCATTTGATGTCCATTACTTATAAGCCAATTCTATTAAAACTGGCAAGTTATATAAGATCATGTATGGAAATGTTCCACTGAAATGTTTTCTTCATTGTATCTAATTCCTGTGTCCAATTACATCTCTGTATCACTGCCGTTATTTACGAGAATAAACATTATTCATTCAGCAACAGTCCTGGTGTTAGGATCTCAGTAACGGTGGCGCCAGGTACGACTGGAGGGCAAAACATTCGTTCAGTGAGATTTGTTGCATGTTTGTTATGCCAATGTATAATTATTTTTTTCTTGTGGTGCATACGTGCAGTTTGTTGTATGTTGATACAGTATACTGTCGTGATTG